TTGCTTTGTTTTAGGACGTTGTAGAAATGAAGGATGGGCTGGTAGATATCAGAGCTGCCTTGTTTGTAGTGTGCTAGTGATTGCTATCTATAACTGTTGTCTTCTACACTTACCTGTTCAGATAGAGCCCTTAGCTCCCCATCCACCACAAAGAACCTGCATTTGTTTTCATTTAGCTAAGGATGGAAGATCTTTCAGTGACTGCCTGGTGAAGGTCTCTGGCATTGTCACTCCAGGTGTTGAACATGTAGTGTGACATTAGTTATCAAGTTTCTATGGAGGGTCTACTGTGTGCCTGGCATTGTCCTGACTCTGTAGCTAAAATAGAGGAACATAAAGTGTGTGAGTCTCTCCTTCCCAGAGCTAATGAATGACCTGAAGACAAAACACAGTAGGTCAAACACTTTAGTGTCCAATTGCCATGGGAACTTGTTTTTATCCATTTGCTCTGGGCCTTGTCTGTTCAAGAGGATTTATGGCAACAGAAACACATAATGAAGCTGTTAGGACAGAAATAAGAAACAGAGATCAAGACTGGGGAATGTATAAATCAGAGTGCCAAAGACAGAAGAAGAAAAACTCAGCTTCACAAGTCATGGAGAGCCACTTGGACTCAGCTTCAAGTTTAGTGTTAAGGGTCCTGGCAGCCATATTGAGCAGGGAAATATGGTTAGTTACAAAGTGTTTATTGTCAGAAAGCTAGAGACAACCAGTTCCTTGGGGGAAGGAACAGCTTTCAAAACACTTGGCTTCTGAGAGAAACGCTAATATCTAGCTTCATATTGTCTTTAATGATAATCCTACAGGACGATGAAAGCGGGCGGTTATAAGACAGTGTGGTGCTGCAGCCTGCACTAAGAGCGAGAATGGAAAAATTAAGTTCTATTCATGCAATGTACTTAGAGCAGAAGTGGATGGTCAGATTTGGGATACAGTCCAGACACATCCAGAGCTGGAACACCTGGGAAGTAGAAGGTCGAACCCCCTGATGAGAATCTTCATTGTCGTCATTTCTCTCTGCTGAAATTTTGATATGGCAGCTGGCCACATTTTTTTTTGTTTTCTGCTATAAGGTTGAAGGGTAAATATTCCAGGCTGTGTGCATGATGTAATTGTTTATACCTGAGGCCAGCAGACGTTTTTTGTAGAGAACTATATAATAAATATTTTAGGCCTTAAGCACTAAAAGATCTCTGTCACAATTATTAATCTGTAAGACTATAGTGCAGAAAGAGCCATAGGCAATTTCTAACTGAGTGGGCATGGTTGGGTCTCAATGAAACTTGATTTAAAAGTGGGGGGGGGCTGACAAATTTTGCCTATAGGTAGTCTGTTCCCAATATCTGAAACAACCTAAGAAAAACAACAGAAACAAAGGGAAAGCATGTTATTGTTATTCTTTGGGTGAAATAAAGGACCACTAAGAAGCTAGGAAAGCCTTGTTTAATAGTGACTCTGGCCTTACTGTTTTATTCATAGTAATAATGATCCATGCTGGAAAGCATATGGCTCGTGTTTGGACTGGAGATTCACTATGCTGATGGAAAGAAACATGCATATCTCAAGATAATCCAATCCAACTATTCACACATAGAAATGGCACTCATGTGGGGTATTAACTCCATTTCTTGTCCCTCTAAGACCAGTCAATACCTGAGAAGAAGCAAGTAAGGAGGAGGTTTGATTTTGGATCATGGCTGGAGATACACTCCATCATGGTGGGGAAGGCATGGCAGCAGGCATGCAAAGCTCCTTGCTGGGGAATGCTGATGCCCTGATGTCTTTCTCCCTTTTCCTATTTTAATTAGTTGGGATCAAAGCCCATAGGATGGTGCCACCCACAGGTAGAGTGGGTCCTCCTAGGAGAATCTTCTCTGGGAACACTCTCACAGATGCATTCAGCAGTGTGCCTCTTAGGTAATTCTAAGTTGGTCAAGTCAACAATGGACATTAGCCTTACACATGGGTATGGCATCGAGATGTAGAGGAAGGATGGTTCTGAAAAGCCTTAAATTCCATGTAGAAAACAGAATTGTGATGGGGCTTGCCTGTACTGGCTTCTCCCACAACACTGATTCTCAAATGAGCTCTTATGGTTGGTGTGCTGAGAAAGAGAGATGGTGCAAACTATTCCCAGAAGGCAGATGTATGTCACTCATTCCATTACCACCTTTCCAAGGTCAAAATCTCTTCTTTCTTTCTGATTTCTAATGATTTTCTATGTATATAACATGCAGGAGAGAGAGAGAGAAAGAGAGAGAGAGAAAGAGAGAGAGAGAAAGAGAGAGAGAGAGAGAGAGAGAGAGAGAGAGAAAGAGAGAGAGAGAGATTTTATTTGTAAAGGCTTAGTTATGAATTTATTACAAATTGATGATTCAATATGGCCTGAAATCTTTATATACCTCCTAACTGGTCTAAACAAACCCAAGAGGTTTATTGTGTGAGGGAAGCTGTCTTAAAGACTTGAGTCTGGGAAAGGACTGGAAAAGGGTTGCCCCAAGTTACTTGGTACTTGTAAAGAAAGATGTGCCAAGTATTCTCAGGTTTAGAATTGCTTTTAATCAACTTAAAGACAAGCCATACCTAGTCCTGGGAGCTGTGAGTTATGTACTGGTGTGCCCGCCCCATATCCTGTCAATGAGAATGCAGGCTTAAGCATCAGTAACAATTTTGAAAGCATCTGTTACAACATCATTGTGAGCATAGCTGCGGGACTCTTAGGGGTCTGTGATTAGTTTGAATGTAACTTTGCAGCAGGTATTTTCTGGATAATAGGAAATTAATTCTATTGCTCCATTTAGGATTTCGTTGACTGTTCTGCTCTCTGGTGGCAAAAGCTAAGAAACAGTTTTTGATGATTGAAATAAATGACTCCAGGTTTATAAAGGACATGAATTGTGTCTTTACCTTCATATACCTAGGACATAGCCTAGTGCTTACTCCACAGGAACACTTTTGGATGTTAATCCAATAAATAAAAACTAGTACTTGGTTGCCTGATTCCCATTGGTTTATGTTGGACATTTATAAAAGAGACAAAAGCTTTGTGTTTGGAGTTTGAGACAAAGTGTTAAAAGGTAGAAAATCATGCAGATGGAATCAGATACCCTACTGTATCAGATGTGGTCAGGTCTGGGATGGGGTAAGAAACTGGCAGTTAGATTTACACAGCAGGAATGGTATGGTTTTAGTAATGGCCAGATCATAAATAGCAGGACTAGAGGCCAGGGACATTCTACTGTAATGATAATTTACTTATGAAAAAATGTCTGACATCAAGGTCACCTAAGACACCTACTTTTAAAAGAAGTACCAACTTCCTCTCCTGGGCAGTTCGGTAGAGCTGACTCTGGTGAGCCGAGGACCTGAAGGCAGGAGAGCTGACTTAGCTGCTTATTGCCTGCAGCAGTGGGTGAGCTAGCCAGGGTGGTGCTGGGTAATCTATCCTGGTGATGAGGCTGCAGGAGAGCTTGCAGGCTGACTGACTCAGCTACTTCCCAGGCCTAGATCCAGGGCTTTAAGTTGGCCCACCACAACATCTATACCATCTATGGTCTTCTGGAGCACATAACATATCTGGCCTTGTTGACCCTAAGCTGCAGGATCTCCATAAACAGGACAACAATAGGATATCTGAGAGGAGTCCCCATGAGGATCCAGTATTGATAGTATAGCAGAAGCCAGAGGCCTCGAACCAGACCAGTTACTCACTGCAATGGACATTTGTAAGCAAAGAAGTACGGACAAAAGGGTACACTGTGTGACACACTGTGACACACTACAACTTCCACAACAAGATTTTTAAAAATTGTATCTTATTTTCTTTTGGGGAGGAGGCTGCAAGGGTGGAGGGTAGATACGAAGGCACTGGAAGATGAGTTTGATTGAGGTGCATGATGTGAAATTCACAAAAAAATCAATAAAAAGTTTTTTTTTTTTAAAAAGTAGCAATGGACAGACATTCTGTTTCTTCTCCTTCTTCCTCTGGTCACTCCACATGCTTTACTGATCAGACTTAATTTATTAAGTCTGGCTTACATTTCCATGAGAAGTCAGAATATAATCTCATGATCATAAAAATATGGTCGTATTTTAACTATCCCTGCCACTAATGAGAAAAAAATACATAGAGTAAGGATGTGATGTTCTAGACTAAAAACGTAATGTTGGACAGCACTTACGGCACCTGGCTATAGCTCTGTATTGTCCCCAAACTGGGGACAGCACTTCTAGATAGCAAAGAAATGGTCATCTAAGAGGGTGGGGTTCTTCTCAGCAATACTCACAGCCTGTGAGGGATGAGGTGGCAGTCCTGAGTTAGAGCGCATTGCAGAGTTCTATTGCTATAAGAATAGGGAAGGGATAAAGCCAAACAGTATATGGAGGTAACTTTAACCTTAAAATGAGATACTTCTCAGCATGTTGGTGCACACATATAATACCAGCTCTTGTCAGCTGGGGACAAGGTCTTGGGGACAGGGCCAGCTTGGGTGACATAGCAAGACTCAAGTCTAATAAAAGGGGGGGGTTGGAAAGAACCCTTTTTTGCAATTACAAAAATTTTGCACTGAATTTATTGCAACATTTCATATTACAATAGATAATTTGAGTAATGCCTAGTGCATCCAGATTTCTAAGGCTTACACCCTGGCTTTGAGAACATATGTTAAATAGTATCCTATCCCTGTTATCTTGACTATCTTTTCAAGTCTCATAGAGCTGGACCAAGGAAGTCTAAGTTCATAGTTTGGCTCTTCAACATCTGGCAGCATTAACCACAAAACAGCAGAAATAGAATCAAGAAACAAATGGATAACCTCAAGTAGCTTCGGGCCTACCACAGTGTTGTGCTTGGGTGAGCACCCAGAGCCAACTGTAAACAGTCATTGCCCTGATGGCTTCAGTGTTTAGAACTATTCCGATGTCTGCTGCATGTACTAGATACCATTGTCTCTGTATTCACTTATTAACTGAGCCCTTTGGGATGTTCTTGGTCTCAGGGCCTGAGGATCATTTTCTCCGATGCATCACGGCTCATATTCCGGCTCAGTTCCTCCAGCGGTATGCGGGCCACCATCAGACTGTATGCAGAGAGCTACGAGAGAGATCCCAGTGGTCACAACCAGGAACCACAGGTACAGGATCAGAGCTGTGCTCTTGGCACTGTGTGTCTTCCTCTTTAGAGTGCCCCATGGGCCTTTAATAAAAAGACATATTGATTACTTTAATGGGAAGCAAGTTATGTGTGACCCCAAACAAATTTAATGCATTCATTGAAGTGTTTGAAGCAGAAGAGCTTTTTTGTGGATCTATGACAATTTCAAGACAGGATTTCCCAAATATCTTGTCTTTTTCTTCAGTTACCTGCAGCTTAAACTGGATGCTAATAAGAAAAGGCACATTGTATACATAAGAAAAGTTGAAGTCAAATTTGTTGGACACATAAATTATCAATCTTTGGGTGTTAGGAAAACCCTGGATTGAACCATGGCATTGAGGTGTCCATACAAATACCACTCTGGGCTTCCTCTCTCAAACGGAGGAATCACTCAGCCATAAACCACTGTACTTCTGCATTTAATAACACTGCAGACAGACTAGACAGAAAGAACCCACTCTGCCTGAGTGCATCGTGACATACTACCAGGTGTTCCTGACTCCTTGGTCTTTCTTTGGATCTAGTCTTTCGGGTGCTCCCCTGGGATAAAACATTAGCCATACTTCCTTTTGGAAAAGTGGAAAGGCAGAAATCCAGGCTGTTTCTCATTGTACTGTTATTCAGAAGTTCCCACTATAATCCATCACCGTGGGGCAACCCCTTTCCCTGTTGGTAGTTCAGTTTATTCAGGCTGTCTTGCTTTGGAGAATCTCAAAGAACCTGGTCATCACCATGTTGTGGATTCTTCTACCCTATCCTGGAACTCAAAGATCTGTGGGAGCAAAATCACCACAGTTGGAGAAGTAGAGGCCCAAAAGGCATTCTCAAGGTTGCTGGGCTGTGAGTAGACAGGGCCCATGACAGGCATTTAAGTCTAGCCTTTCCTCTCAGGATTATGAGGGTAGGCCATGCTCTGCCAAAAATAATTTGTCAGTGAGCACATTTCAACCAAGATAGTACCAAGCCATGCAAGAATTAGATGGAGACTTACATTCTCTTTCCGAATAAAACTGTCTGCGACACCTCACGTTGAGACTAGAGAAGAAAGGCAGGAGCTACGCATTGGTTGAGGAATGATGTTCCTGGCCTCCACACCTCTGAGTCATTCTGACTTGAGACTATTTTTTTTCTTATTATTTTCCCCCCTATTTGCACAGGACAAGTGGTTAGACACTTGTTTTTTTTTTCTTTCTTTCTTTTTTTTTTTTTTTTTACTTACCTCCCATGCTAGGCTCCTTCCAGGGCATTAGGCCTTCCAGGGCATTAGGCCTCTATATACAAATGAGTCTCCAAGATGGTCCATAAAAAGCAAATGACATTTTTGACAAAGGTTTTCCTTAAAGCCAAAAGTCCTCCAGAGGCCTGCTTTTAGATGGTTGTGTGGGTAAGCAAAACATAAACAGTTTTAGTCCTTGTTTTAGTCCCATTACTGCGTATTTTCCACCCTGTTGGTATATAAATTTGCTAGTCTGAGTGGCTGAGGAAGCCCTTTCTTGATGTTGCTCTTTGGATCTCAGTCATTTTCTCCTCTTTCAAAACAAGCAAAAGTCTTTCCCCAGATCCAAGTAGATAGGGCTGAGTACATTTATTTTAGCACATGATCTAGCTAAAAGTTCTGTATTAAAATAGAATTCCTGATTAAAATAGCACATATCATTGACTCACTGACTGAAGCCCTATTGCATACTACATTGTAATCATGGTATAATAGTCAAAATTTAAAAGAATTCTAACCTCATAAGGGAAGGAGGGATAGAGTAAAAGGGAGAGGAGGAGAGGGGAAAAGGGAGGGGAGGAAAGGTGAAGGGAGGGAAGTCAGGCACAGTGGGTAACTCACATTAATCACTGCTTAGATCCATCTAAGGTCCTTCCATTGGAGGTTTTAAGGCTTCTGGGAAATGTTGCTTCCTGGCACAAACTGCTTTTTCCTTCTAAGAATTCCAAGAGGAAGAGGCTTTGGTTAACCATTAACAGAGATAAAGATGACACTGTGAGGCTGCTGGGTCACTCCTGACAAGCAGCCTAAAAAGCAAGGACTGGTTTGTTCATCCTTAGATTCTACTTCTTCAGTTTTGTCACCTAGATTGCAGAGCACACATCCCTGTGCAAGCGCTCGAGTGCACATGGGCACGCAAATGTACGCACGCACACTCACGCACACACGCGCCTGTTAAAATACTTTCTAGTCTACAGTGCTGTTACATAACTGTTTATGTTTAACCCACCCCAATGCTGTAGTGTTCTAGTCATTTTGTGTGAGGTCAGAGTTCCCTTCAGTTACCTTATTGATACCTGTCTATTTCACTTTGCACATGGATTGTTTCTTTCTTAGACATTCAAAGACCAAGAACCAGGCAGCTTTAAACATTCAGACTTGTTACCTCAAGGAGAAAGTGTTCAAATTAGCCTAGTGATTTGACTAGGAAACTCAATGGTCCGATACTCCCCACCCCTACAGCTAGAGTTTCTGCTGTGTCCTCTTGTAGAGGTGATGATGCTGTTTGTTTTAAGTTGACGTCAAGTCATCACTGTACCTACAGTAAACTATTTAAAACTGAGTCTATCCATACTTAGCTCTGGTTGTTGGTGAGGGAAGGAAGGCCCTGAGGAAGGCCCTGGGAGGGAAGGTGGTTTGCACAGCTTTGGTCTCTGCTATATTATCAAAGTCCCGCCAAGGGCAGATGCTGAAATATCACATCATTTTCAAACACAGTTACTTTAGTTTTATTGGCAGTCAGGCCCCTAATGAGCTCTCAAACCAGCTGGTGGAAATGTGTAAAAAGGGTTGCGCTGGAATGGTTTAAATTCACAGGTACGAGAAACAGTATGGCTGTTTCCATATTTCTCCCTTCTCATCAGGATTGCTAAACATCCTGTTCACTTTCTTCTCTTGTCCTCAGGAACCCATGGGTGGAGTAGCTAATGCACAAAAGACAGCCAGAGGGTAAAGGAAGACCGTTTTAGAAAGGACTAGGTTAATCAGAGAATGAAGAAGGTCAGCTTGGGACTAATCAAGATGTAACCACACCCCAGCCCACTCCAATCTTGGGAAGGAGCCAATACTCATGGACCTTCCTTGAAACTGATGACTGGATGTATTTCTGATAAGCTGCATCCAACATAAAAGTACCTAAAGCATCAGGAGGGTTTTTGTTTGTTTGTTCTTTTTGTTTTCTTTTGTTTAATTCTGGTGTCAAACCTAAGCCCGCCTGCCATTTTGTTCTAACGGTCCTTATAATAATTTATAGTTCAGAAACAGACAGTGCAGAGACCTGTTTTTGTGTATGGAGCGAGTATCCAGGCCAGGGCACCTTTGAGAGTGAAGGTGTCTGTTAATATTTATGTTGAGATTGGCCATTGTCAACTGGCTGTGTGGAACTCCAGTTCCATAACTCCATCCTGTTGTAGAACTGCATATCTTCTTAGGTGGAGGCTTCTGAGAAAGAGGTAAAGAGGGAAGAGTTAGATCAGAGAAGTTCAGCCCATATTGTCATCAGAACCACATGGAAAGATCTACAGAAACATTGATAGCAGACCCATGTTTAGAGATTCAGTTTCTGGAGTTGAGAATTGAGATTTGTTGAGACACTTCTCACGTTGGTTTTTTAAAGTGTATCAGTTAAGCGATGTGCCAGGCTCCATTCTAGATACTTAAATACACTGCTTCTGTTATCACCACATTTCACTGCCCCCTGGTGGGGTTATTGTTAATCCCACTGGTTGAAAATAAGACCACTACCACAATTTGGTGCCAAATTTGAAGTAAGCTTTGAGTACTGGCCAGGATGATGAATGCTGGCCAGGTCTATTCTTGGGTTCCCAGGAAATGGCATGTGTCACATTTTGCAGGGGTTTTCCTCTAAGGCCATCAGGTTCAGTCAGGGACAAGCCTAAGCCTACCTGTGATAAAGCACAGCTGGTGGGGTTGCTTCAACAAACTTGCTTAGGAGAGGAAAGACATGTGGCTTGTTATTTCCCAAGAACTATAGCTCCCAGCATTGCCCTATCTTAGCCTTAGACAAGTGGGGCCTATAGGTTAGTATTACAATTATCATCCAGTTTTCCATAAGTGGAGACCCTGATGAGGAGTTGTTCCAATCCATGGACCATTTTTGGATTGGTTTTGTTTTAAGAAAGATTTAAATGGTTAAGCCCAAAGGGGTGAGAATTTTTCACCCAAACTAGAGTTCGATGCAGTGTCTGGACTTTAGTTCAGTTTTATGAAAAGGCTTGTCTTCAAGGGCTGGAGGGAATAGCTCAGCAGCTAAGATGTTTCTCATTCTACATGCATCAGTTCTCTAAGCCTCTATCCTTAACTAGGTCCCAAGAACTTAGTAAAATTCAATTCAGTTCAATTCAGTCTCACCTGACCTCTGGAAAGGGTTCCAGTGGAAGTATGTTTCAGAAGGTACAGCTCAGGGATGGCCAAGGAAGAACTGTGCAGGGCCAGACATGGGGCGGGGTGAGTGAGGAGATTCTATTCCCTCCAATAATACCCCTTCCCTCTGTAACAGCTCTGAGAGTGGCTCTAAGTGTGTACCTTCCCATGAGCTCTCCCAACCTTCTTCAGGGGTGTTATGGAGGCTTTGTTACTCAAATTTGATTGAGAAAGTCAGTGCCCTCAATTGTTGAGCTCATCCTATGGGTCAGGGAGTCACAAGTTCCAACTGTCTAACCACATGAGTGTGTCCTTGTCAGAGAGCTCCCAGCCTGAAGATGCTGTGTGAGTATGAAGTAGCCTGAGGGTAGAGTCCAATCAGTCCAAATGCTCGTCACCCAGGAAATCCCAATAGTGTTAGATCTTTGCCAGGAACACAAGCATATATGATTTTCTACCATTTCAGACATAGAAATATGTGCAAATGGCAAGTTTCTGCAAGTAGCCTTTTACAGCATTATTGACAGGTTAATAGTCTAAATGCATGCTGGTTATATTTTATAGCTCATAAATAGCCTGGAGTTATTAATAGAAAACTT